TCATAGTCAAATTGTACTTCAGAGTAAAATTTTACTCTAATCAGAGTAAAATTTACTATAATTCAAAGTAAAATTTTACTCTGAAAGTACAATTTACTATGATCCAAAGTAAAATTTTACTCTGAAAGTACAATTTGACTTTTTACTCTGATAAAAAACATGTTGATTTGCTTAGCAATATAAAATTTTACTTTGAATTATAGTAAACTTTACTCTGATTCAGAGTAAAATTGTACTTTCAGAGTAAAATTTTACTCTAAGTCTCTGAATCAGGATAAAATTTACTACGATTTAAAATAAAATTTTACTCTAATTAAAAACATGTTGATTTGCTTAACAATATAAAATTTTACTCTGATTTAGAGTAAAATTTTACTATGAAATGCATTGTGAAGATAGCTTAATAGGAAAGATGATAGATATGAGGGTAATATAGTAAAATAAATAAATTTTAAAATATTAGGGGATTTTGAAAGTACATGTATAATTCTTGTCCTTTTGAAAGACAAATTAGACAGTGAGAGGTCTATCAACAAATCCCTCTTATATCAATCTTATTTTACTAAGATTAAAATAAAATTTAAAAAAAATGTTATGAAAATACAAAATAAAATAAAATAATATATATATTTAAATATAAAAAAAGATGAGAACATAGTTTTTTTTATTCATATAACTAGTGAATTTTTAATAAAAGAGAATTAAGTATTATATGAATTAAATTTTGGGTAATGTTAAGGATACCAAATTTTCTACCAAACAAATGACCAAATGTCTCACATGGGTGTGGGGTCCGCAATTTTGTGGACCCCACACCCATGTGAAACATTTGGTCATTTGTTCGGTAGAAAATTTGGGACCTATAGTACTTTCCTTAAATTTTAGGGAGTTCAATATAATTATACTAAACACGTAATATTTATTGTATTTTCTGTAAACTTTGATAAATATTATTTTTTGAATAAATTGCATTGACACCGCCTGATGTTTTTATTTAATACAGATCCCCTTACATTTGAGAAATTACCCTTACCCCTCTGTCAGATTAAAATGACATATTTGTCTTTTAACCTTTATACATGTAAAATAATAAAATAATATAGATATTTTGTTCATGTTATTTCAAAGGAAATAACAATCATATTCTTTAGTTTAACTCACACAAAAAATTGAGTTTCTCCATTTTTCATATTTTTTTATTTTTATTGAATTGTTTTAATATTTTAAACAATTTTTTAAAATTTTTTTAGATACACCTAATCTAGATATACTTAAGAAGTTTAATATTTTGTGATTTTTTTAAAATACAAAAAAAATAAAAAAATTAAAATTTAATACATTATCTTATTTTGTTATATTCAATAGATTTTTTTAGTTTTTTTTTCCACAAATTTTATACTTTTTAAATATATCTAAATTAAATTAATCTAATCTAGATATAATGCAGGAAATAAAAGATTATACAAAAAAATATAAAAATGTTGTGATAGTAATATTGTTGTAAATATATGAGTTTAATGTTTTCATTCCGTCTAAATAATTACAATGACAGGGAATTAGTATAATTTTCCAAACGTTAGGGGGTAATATGAATTAAATCCAAATCTCAGGAGTTGTAAGTATAATTTACCCAAATAGTTTCTAATGTATAACTAATTTTTTGCTCACCAAACAATTTTATTAAACATGTCCTTATCATATATAAAAAAAAAGGGACGATTTACACTAATGGTCCTTGTAATTTAGGGCTTGTATTATTTTGGTCATTAACCTTTCAATTGTGAAATATTTGATCTTAAATTTTGAATCTTGTTCCAAATAAAGATAATTAAAGATATAGTTGTTATCTTTCAAGGGTAAAATTGTCAATTTAATAAAATGTAAATTAGTTTGTCAAAAATAAATATGAAAAAACTATTTTTGAATTTTTAAAAATTATTGCTATCCACCAAAGATAAAATTATATAAAAATGATAAATCTTTTACATTTTTTTTTATATTTTTTTACCAAATTAATTTTTAGTATGTGTTTGGATAATGATCATGTAATGATTGATTGTTTTTGTTGATTTTTTTTATGGTTATCATGTAATAGATGATTGTATTTGTTATTAACAGATATTTTTGGATGATATTATTATAATGGATGGTTATTAGGCTTTTATGTGTAATCGATATATTTAATATATGGGGTATTTTTAATTTTGGAGTTTTGATTTAATGATTGGTTTGATAATGATATCAAAATTGTCACCATATTTGATCTTTGAAAATATAGAAACTAATTTAACTAAAATAAATATAAAAAAAAAAGTTTATTTCTATCCTCCAAGAAGATAAAATCATATAAAAATGATTCGTTTTTAATTTTTTTTCAAAATTCAAACATGGCGACAATTTTGATGTGATTATTAAACCAATCCATCAAATCAAAAAATCTAAATTAAAAACATTTCATATATTAAACATATCGATTACAAATTAAAAACCTCATAACCATTCATTACATGATAACCATCCAAAAATATCTATTAAGAACAAATACAACAATCCATTATATGATAATCATAAAAAAATATATATTAACAAAAACAACCAACCATTAAATGATCATCATTCAAACACATACGAAAAATTAATTTGGTAAAAAAAATAAAAAATAAATAAAAATATAAAAGATTTATTATTTTTATATAATTTTATGTTTGGTGCGTAGAAATAATTTTTAAAAATTTAAAAATAATTTTTTTATATTTGTTTTTATCAAACTAGTTTATGCTTTATTAATTTGACAACTTGACCTTGAAAATGGAGCAATAATATTTTTAATTGTCCTTATTTGAAATAAAATTCAAAATTCAAGGTCAAATATATCACAATTGAAAGGTCAGAGACCAAAAGTGAGTCGTAAACAGACCAAAGTGAGTCGTAAACTATAGAGACTGTTAGTATAATTCGCTCTAAAAAAAAAAAGAGATCAAACCTTGGACCAAATAACATATGACCCCATGAGTCCTTAAAGTGAAAAGAGCTTGTTTGGCATGACTATAAAGTACACTTACGCCTTGTTTGGGAACAAATTATTTTAGTAATTTTTTAGCCTTTTGTCTAAATATGAGGAAAAAAAAAACTAATATGTTTAGAATGATTTTTTAGTTTTTTACAAAAAATATGTAAAAAGTAGAGAGAAAAAAGAATCTTTGAATTTTCGGTATAACTTATAGGCTTTTTGGTTTTTTCAATAATTTTTTGACTTTTAAGCTAAAACAAACACTTGCCAAACGAGACTTTATTTATCATTTTATCTTTTTTAGGTCATATCACCTCTCTATTTTTCTGTATATTTTTTGTAAAAAATTAAAATATATACTTATTTAGATTATTCCAAATAACTCCGAAATAGACACTCATGCCAAATGTCCATTTTTGAAACTATTAGGTCAATAAGCTTAAATCTTTTTTTGCCAAATGGACACCTATTTGTTCAAAACTTACCCATATGTCTGTTTGATCAAATGTCAAATATGTGTTACCTATCTATTTATTTATCTGTTTAATATCACCTATCTATTCACCTATGTGTTTAATAACATTTACCTTTCAGCAGCTTTTCTATCAATTTTCTAACCATTTTTCAACATGTGTTCTTACTACAAAAAGAGATTAAATTTTAAACGGTAAGGGCTCATTGGGCTTTTTGGCTCAATGAGGTATAAAAGACAGAATAGGCTCATGAGCCACAACAAACAAAACATCTCATCCAACCCCATAATCATTACACTCTTCTCTCACAAAAAAATCAAAAAAGCCAAAAAGCCAAAAGCCCTTCCCAAACTAAGCTTTTGAGCCCAGGCTCATATAGTCAAAAAAGTCAAAAAGCCAACCCACTTCCCAAACGGAGGCTAAATAACACATGACTCTTAGACTTTTTACCAATTAACCTAATAAAATATCCATGAAAAAGAATTTAATTATAAGAAGAACATTGCCATTTTTTTTGGGGGGAAAAAAAATAAAATATCTCTCTACAAATTTGTACAGTAAGAGAGGTCAAATTTACTTTTTGGGTAAATTACACTGACACCCCCTGAGATTTATATTTATTACAGTTTTCCTCCTCACCTTTTGGAAATTACATCTCCTCCTGAGATTTAAAGTTTCATTACAGATTCTCCCTCAACAATTTAATTTTTTTAAATATCAATTTTGCCCTCACTGGGTAAATTACATTGTCACCCCTCATATTTTAGAAATTACAATCCTCTCTCTAAGGTTTAAAGTAGTATTACCAATAGCTCCCTCGGTTAGTATTAGTTGGCAAAAAAATTAATTGAAAAAAAATTTTGTTGGTAAAATTTTTAAATTTCTATTTAAAAACCAACGTAAGTTCATTTTTTGAGAAAAAAAAATTTATTTGAAAAAAAAAAATTATTTGAAAAAAAATTTTGCTAGTCAAAATTTTAAATTTCTGTTTAAAAAAACCAACATAAACTCATTTTTTGAATTTACGTTTTTTCTTCAAATTTATAAGTTGAGACAACCATTTATAAACTACAAAAATTATCAAACAAATTTTTATGATAATTTTTAAAATTTTGTAAATATAAATTGAAAACTGAAAACGAAATGGTTATTAAACAGGCATTGAATGGTATAAATGTCGTAAAATTAACAAATAATTAAATAAGTTACCAAAGTAAGAAATAATTTATCAAAAGATTCTTAGGTTATATATGTGGTTTGATTTTTAGAATTTTTTTTTTAAAAATTAAGAATTAATTTAGTTAAGAAATAAAAAATGAAAAATAATTATCATATTTATATAATTTTTATCTTTCGAGTGTAATAAACATAAATCTTAAGAAGTGTCAGTATAATTTTTATCTTACGTTGGTTTTTAAACAGAAATTTAAAAATTTTAATAATTAATTTTTTTTAAATAATTTTTTTTCAATTAATAATAACCGATGGACAATTGATAATGTTACTTTCAATCTTAGGGAAATAATTGTAATTTTTTAAATCTGAAAAGTGTCAATCTAATTTACCCAGCGATGAATTATTTCTTCGCGGCGCTCTAAATCCCAGCAGCAGCAGCTACTCCAAAAAAATCTCCGCCAAAACCCTAGAAAAATCGTCATGGTATAACAAACAAATCATAACTCTTTAATGTTAGTCTTGTGTTCTCTGTTTTTTTGTTTTTAATTTGAGGAAGCAAAGCACTTTGTTTATTTGTTGTTATTAGGCCCCGAAGAAGGAAAAGGCTCCGCCATCGTCGAAGCCAGCGAAATCTGGCGGAGGAAAGCAGAAAAAGAAGGTAAGAATCATGGGTTTGTTAGGGTTAGGGTTTATGAAGTTCCATTTGTGTTAAATTTTAGAGCTTGATTTGTTAATTCATTGCTGATTGTTGAGGTTT